TTATTAGACTTATAGATTCTAAATCAGTACTTGGACAAAAGAAAGCTCTTTAAATTCAGTAATCTGATAGCAACCACATCATCTTTACTTGCTTGCAGAGAGAACACTTTACCAAGCAGGGGTATGGGACAAAATAACAGAACTGTGAAGGCCTCACAGGCCTCAGCTCAGACAGGAATCTGGCTGTCCTCCCTGGAGAGCGGTGCCCTGCTACGGATTTAGCTATCAAGGAAATGGAAGAACTTACGCAGCATTCATTTCTTCCTGGTGAAACACGTTGTCAGTTTCTCTCCACACGGCTTAGTAGGCTGACTTCGCTGAATAATGTGTCTTGATGGGTTTGGTTTTAGTGATTATAAATACTTCTTATTTCCCTTCATAGGTGGCAACCTTAGACACATAAAAAAAACAAACAACTAAGTTCCAGAATGTTCAGTGTAGCCTTGTCAATGGTACACAGACCAAAAAACAAAGCAAAACAAAACAAAAAAACCCTGGAAGTACAGAGAACTCTTAATAAATTGTAATAGCCTTAAAATAGAATATTGATTATTAAAAAGATTAAGCTAGATAAATGCGTTGAGACAAATAGGTTTCCCATCTCCAAGATACACTGTTAAGGAAAAAAAGCAAGGTGTCCCATGTATACCTTAAGAAAAAAACCCTGTGCTCTCTCCCACCCACAGGCTTCTCTCTTCGGGTAAGTCAATTGAGCTCTCCGAGCCTTGACTCCCCTAGCCTCAAGCACCCTCCCATCTCCCCCACCAGTTTCTCCTCCTAGCCTGGGTCCTGTCCCATTCCTTGTCTGGGCATCCCAGACACCTGGAGAACCACTACTGCTTCCTGATCCTGTGCATCCAGACCAACTCAGTTCCTTCTCAGGTCCCCAGGGGCGCTCTGGGCCTGGGCCCACCCACACCTCCCTCAGCCTCCCTGGGTCTGCACAACCCTCCAGCCTCTTTCCTAGACGCTGGGGTTGACCTTTCCTCTTCCTGGTCCTTTGCATCCAGACCAACCCACCTCCTCAGTGCAGTCCCCAGGGGCCCTTGGGGCTGCCTCCCACCCCTAGCTTCCTCTGCATCTCTGTGTGGCCAGCCACCAGCTGTGCTAGACCAGCATCTTTCCTGGGCCTGGCTCCCAGGCCAGTCCAACCCCCAAATTCCTGAGGCCAAAATCTATCCTGTAGGGATCCAGACCTTAGGAGAAAGCCTGAGAGCATCTGATCCTCAGCTGACTTGGGCCTCTGTGGGAACTCCTGAAGACAAAAGCAATCTGGCCACTCCAATATAAAATCAAAAGAGAGAACTGGAAGCTTAGACAACCAGCCTTTCACGCCCAAAAAGTAAACCACAAGGACACATAAAGTTCACAAAAAGAAGTAGACCTGAACTTGAAGGCTTGAGTCTCACACAAGAATCAGAAACTACAAAAGAAATTCACACGTCGAAATCACAGAGAAAAAATAATAACATGAAAAACCAAAATAACATATCCCCACCAAATACCAAGAGTCCTCTAGAGGAGTACAGTGAGAACCCATGTCCATGCAGGACATGGAACACAAAAGAACAATACAACCATGATAAAAGAATTCAGTGAATTTAAAGAACACACAAAGAAATCAAAGAACTGAAAGAAGATAGGGATAAGCTGCTGAATGAATTCAGAAAAGAGCTAGAAATACTGAAGACTACTCAGGCTGAAATAAAGAAAGAAGTGAAACACTCAGTAAGCCAATTAGAAACGACAGGAGAAAGACTCAACAATAGGATGAATAAAATGGAAAACAGAGTATCAAGACTGGAAGATAAAGTGAATAAACTAGACA